ATAAATGTTCATTATGCAACACTTAGCCACTTGGCCTTTGACATGATATTGTATTGTTGCTCTGGATTCTGTTGTGTGTTTCTGCCCGTGCAGAAATTAATATTAAATTGTATATGTACTTGATATGATTTGATGGGCCTTTGAGTGAGCATGTGCTATGTTGGTTACGTCATAACGTGTTGTTGTTCGATATCTTGTTATTGATTAATTCTGTTTATCCGAAGACTGAAGGCGTTCACCAGAAACGGTAATTGGTATGATTTGATAGGCTTTTGAGTGAGTCATAACGTGTTGTTGTTTGATATCTTATCAGTGATTAATTTCATTTATACCCAAATATGGATATATTTTTTTAATGAGCGTCTGTCTGGGAATTTTAATGACTTCCTGTTGTTTTCACGATTATAGGATGAATTATTCGTTTTGAAATACCGATTGCTTAATAATAGTTTTACCGCGTAGTATTTTAATTGCGTTTATTTTTCACACCAGAACATGTCTTCACCTAGCCTTTTCACCCCATACGTTTATTATAATAAAAATTATAAATTATAAATTATAAAGCATATTATTTATATATTACAATTAAATCAAATACAAAGTTACCGTATTTTACGGTAAGCAACCGACAGGTAGTTATTATCATCATCAGTGTTTATTGTGTAGACAAATTTGATGTTAATATTTAAGAAACAAATATTTTAATAATATATTATTCGTGTACAAATAATCAATATTGTTACTGAATTGTTTGATTCAAACCAAAGTATCAGACCATATTATTATTATTATTTTTTTTTTTTTAATTGATCCTGAGCCCGGCAACTGTGGCCATTAGCTATTAGTAGGTACTGTAGGTTTTTGTATTGATGGTTTGTAGGTTTTTGGAACGGTAGGGGGAACACGTGTGTGTTTGTTTTGGCAGAATTTCGAATGGGGCACCCGTAGGTTTCTGCCATGCCCCGGGGGTGGGGGATGGCAGCACTTGCTCTCCGGTCACCGCGACTTGTCCGGAGAAAAATGCCGCCCGGTGGCCGAGGATCGAACCGCGACCGGCTGCGTCGCAGCGGAAGAGTCAGACCACTCGGTCACCTCGTCCCCCATTATTATTATTATATAGGTAGGTTCACGTTTATTGAAAACTAATATTAGGCAAGAACGTATATTAGTAGAACTTTTAAAATGTAAATATACTTTTCTTGTAAGTTTGCAGCAAAATGTTGTTTATTTTGATGTTTACACAAACACAAAAATATAAAAGTTGGTACCTACGTATTAAAATACGTAATATAATACCTATATCGGTATGAAATGTAATTAAATTGTTTGTAGAAAAAAACAGAACAAACTACTTTGTTCATTACGTATTCAAAAACTTAAAATAAATATTCATCGAAACATACTAAAAAATTGATTTGTTGATTTTCATGATCGATGTTTATTGGTCATGAGTCATGGCAATAATAATTAACAGTCTTAATGTGGCCTTACTAAAAAACAAACGCAGACATCTGATTGTGTTCATTTTTACACAATATTATACTGGGCGTCATCTGTGCCTCACTGTTACCACGAACAGTATAAAATAAATTGATATTATTTTAGTACCTGTGTCTGCTATGTTTTAATTATTTTTTCATATTTTTTGAAGCGTGTTTTTTACACTATGCTTTCCATCGAAAACACTCACGATTATTGAAAAATGATTATTTTTTTTTGTTAATATTATGACAAAAAGTAAATCCGCTTACACTACAAAATTAAATATTTAAATGTAAATATGGGTAAATAAATTTGACCATACATAGTTTTCCCATCAACTCGTATAATTTTTTTTTATTTTATAAGCTCGGTATTAACCATTAGTTTCGGCAATTACAATTTTGTATTTTGTATTTTACAATATTCACAAATCTATACATAATAAACTGCGTTAAATTATAAAAATCCATTCATTTTTTAGATTTAAAATCCAACCCAATCGAATAGTTTGAGTGTGGACAAAATAATAAAGAATTATATTAAAGAATAACTTTGAAGTATTAATTCGTATGACAACATTTAATGTGTTTACTATTTAATGTGTCTGATTAATGTCCAGACAATATCTGTTATATAATTTAAACATACACATTTATGGAATTAGATAAAATTACATACCATGTGGGCACACGGGATTTTATCATTATTTATCGCACAATGTTCTAAGAAATAGTTTTTACCATTTTTCCTCAACATTCAATCTTTTTTTAATTTTCAATGAAGCAAATGTTCGGTTCAATTTAAATATAAATAAGGGTTGGAAATTGTAGTTTGAATATTTTTTTCACCTATTTGAATATTAAATGTTAATTCATTTGATTGGTTTACTATAATATCTATCCTTTATACTTTTATAGTTTATTTCAATAAAACATTTGAACAATTTATTTCGTTTTATAACGTAAATCGGCAACGCCGTTATATTTTAAGAATGGATTAAAAGTAAAATACGATCATCATTTTAGAAATAATGTAAAGTCTTAAAATTGCAATGAGCTTACTGTTGGGACTTAATGGTAGAAGGAGGGATTTTGTGATATTTTTAGCCTCTATGCCGGGGACGACAAACTTTTTAATGACTCGCTGTCGAAAAAATTGCATTTTACTAACTTGGACTTGAATAATGTCACAACTGAAGTTGACTACAATAGAAATGTATATTATAATTTAAATGATACGATCAGACATGAAAATTATAACATCGCATATCATTATCTAATTTACCAAATCGATTTACATGAGTACATTTAAAAATATTTTTTTCAGTTATAAAAAATTATAATGCAAAACTCTACAACACTCGTAAGTAGAAGCAGTGTTGTCGGCTATTTGTTTTGACCAGTTTTATGACCGTGTGTCATTCTGGTTCACCGTCAATGTCTTTTGCCTAACGGTATTATCGTTGTAATCGATGACTGAACGATTACAATCGTAACGATATAACTTTGTTATAAACAATTTAGTGGGTTAGCAATTTCAAAAAGATTTGTCATGCTACAGTCGGCCTACATAATTCGATTAAAAAGTTATGACATAACTCTATATAGTGTACAGCTATTATTATACTGTGTGCTAGAAAAAACATCAATCGTACCTACCTAATATATTCAATTTTGATTCCGATTATAACGACCACAATAATATAAATTGTATCTATCTAAGGATTCAAACAGAAAAGTGTAAATGTTGATAAATATGCACATAACGTTAGTGAAGTAATGTGTTAATTAAAGTTTTTTAATAACAAGTAAAGAAATTATAGAGTTCGCATTTTGTTCTAATTAGGTAGAAAACCTAATTACGTTTGCAGGCCAAATTGCAGCTTACGTGATATTTAAATAGTACGTCATAAATTTTCAGACACGTTCGAGTTAAATAATAAATTATTTAAGTCAAGTTTTTAAATAAATGCAGTATTTAAAATCCATTGTGCAATGCGCGTTGAAAAAAAAATTTATAAATAAACACTCATAACATTATTATATTATATTAATGTAAACCCGTACAGATTATTTTATTTTATTAGAAAACTGTACATCTACAATGTAGCTGAAATATGTATTATTTTACAACATTTTTACAACTCGATACATAAACCATTATATAATATACGTATAATGTATAATAGATTAGACGTTTTCTCTATAAACCATATAAAAGTAGAATTACATATATTCATGTGATTTTGAAATGTTTACGAGTATAATACTTCTTATTATTTCAATAACAAACTTTTTAGAAGTTCAAGTACTTAAACATTAG